TGCATTGGGATGGTAGCCAAACTCCATGAATGTGACTAATGAGCAAGAATTGAAGTTGTCTTAATCTAACAGTCAAAGCAGCAACGCTCAGGTTTAAAAAATGAAGCCAAAGTGAACAAACACAAATTGCAGTTCCTGAAGTGGCCACTTGAGTTTGGATCATGCATTTCTATCTGATCTTTAAGTGATGATGTGATGGATTCTGCTTCCGGGTCCAAACTACTGTGTTTATTAAGGCTGTTGGGTTTTTAACATGTTTTTAATATTTTGTATCTTGTTCTATTTAATCTCAACAAGCCCTTAAAAACAGTCAGTGATCACTGTCAGCCTCTGTTGGTTTTTATTGCTGCTGTTCATTTTAAAGCTCAGTTTTTAAAACCTTATGATGTAACTCCGTCCGTCTGGTCCGTTTACAGTATCCTGCCATGCGATCGCATTTGTCCCTGACCACCGAGAACACTCATGTTAACTTTTATCGAGTGGAAAAAGTTAGTGTTCATCCTCCAGCTTCACTGCGTTTATGCTAACCATAGCTGTGTCGCTAGCGAGCACATCATTATATACCAGCTAGTCCAACTTCAGTAACCCTACAAACGTCACTGCTGTTTAGTTTTCTGTCTTCGTTTATGTTGGAAGTGACAGCAGAGCTGTACGTTTGAATTCTTTCAGAAATCTCTGTCAGAACATGCTATATCATGTTTAGGTGGAAGCTAGTGAGCTAACTTCTAACTCTGTTAATTTAATTCTGTAATAATCCTGTTTTCATGGATGCCTGGACGTTAAACTTAATTGTTACACCTGGTAAAGCAGCAACACTGATCATTTTATTAAAGATGAAAGAATTTTAGGTTTTAACTCTCAGTGATGCCGCAGTGTTCATTTGACTTAAAGACCTGAAGCGGAGTTTGGACCCGGAAACGGCTAACGACGTCAGACTTAAAGACCGATTGTAGCACATGGGGGTGTAGCTGATCTCTGTCTATGTGCCCTTTGTTGATTTGGTTAGCCCCTTTTTTCTTATTTTTTTGTTATCTTTTATATACAGTCTGTGCAGTCTTTATACATTGGAACCACTGTATATAGACTGTATATAGACCACTGTTTCTGAGGCAGAATACAGTATCTGACCTGTCTGCACAGAGAGCCTTTAAAAACCTGCCTACTAGATAGAATATTACTATAGGCTGTACTAATTCCAGAGGCAACACAAGGTTTGAGTCTTTAAACACTTCATGGGTCCAAACTGAACAATGGTGTGACAGATGGTGTGTTTGGAGTCCAACATTCAGATTATTTTTTGCTATTAATAATTGTTGTTTTAGACATAATACTTTAGCAGCAAATGCAAAAAGCATTCCTGTCAAAGCCAGATGAATGAGATAAAAAACCAACGGGGAGAAAGAAAGCAAAGGCAGTGGATGTGAATGAGCTTTCAGTGCAATAGCATTGGGCTGTAAAGCCCGAAGAAGAGAACGAGAGTCTGAAAACTTATGTTAAAAAAAAGAAAATCTTTTATCATATTCTTTCCTTTACATGCAGACACTGTCACCATTACAATTCCCAATTCTTTTTATGCCTAATAAGTAAAAAGCATGCTTAAAAATCCAACTTCAAAATTCTGCACCCATTTTCCTGTGTGCTGATATCAGGAGACGGCAGCAAGTGACTCATTACTAATGGAAAATATCTGAGAAAGATAGATGAAGGGGAGCCAGTGGTGACAGAGTGGGTGTGGGGGGTGCAAACTGAGAGAGGAACACAGAGCGAGGAGATAGGGATAGATATGGATGAAGGCAGGAGACAGAAGCAGAGATTTCTAAATGTGACTCATTACAATGAAGCAATGTGAGTTAACTTTACTGTAGAGCAAATATTTGGCAATTACTGGAATTTCACTATTTTTTTTCCCGCTCTCAGACCACCACCCCTCTACTCCGTCCCCCACTCACTGCTGTCCCTGCTCTGTCTGCTGTTAGGCGTATCTAGTGAAGGTAGTGTTTGGCTGATGGGAGCAGAAGGGTTAGAGAGACGTCTACTGGTGAAATGTGGTAACTTCAGCTGGTTTATTACCTAGTGGTGAATAAAAACAAAGCTGCATGGTGGAAGACTTTAGAGATGAACTGCACCAGTATGTCAACAATATTTTGGAGCAGATCTTGTGTTTTATAAATTTATCCTTAAAAATACCCTTTATTTTGTCATGCAATTGCAAAAAAGCATGACTTGGCCATAAAATCAAGAAAGCAAAAGAAGTCAAATTGAAAAAAGAACTGAAAATCGTGCGATAAATACATTCCAGTTATAGTTAGTGAGGAAACGTCTGAATCCAAACGAACATTTGCAAAGAGTTATTCGAAATCTGGGAAATTATGCAAATTATTAACACATCTAGGATGACATGTTTAGTAAATTTGACTAAAAAGGCATCACAAATATATGCAAAATAACATTAAATTCATTAAAGATTAATGCATCTTACAAATCAGTGTAGAAAGCATCTACAAACAGGCGCTCTCATTTTATGCTCTTAACAAGAGTTTTAACCCTTTCAGCATAGTGGTCACTACAGTGGACAGCTATTCAAAGGCTGTTTTCTTGTATTGGGGTCAGTGTTGATAGGATACTTGCTCATAAAACACTACCTTGGACACTGATACGTCACTCCATACCTGCCACCCACTGGTCAGCCAGTGGACATGTAAAAAAACCTCTTATGTTTAAGAAAAACATCCTGATTGAGGTTGTTATAATTCATGCATGAAAGGGTTAAATGTGATATTGTGTGGTTATATTAAGCTTCCAGGGTTTCCTGCAAAGACACTGCTTACAACTGAAATCAACAGATCTTGAACGTTGTATTTTTTTATACAATTATTATTTCTTCTTGAAAATTCTCAAGCGCTGCTATTTCTTGACATTTTAATCATGTCAGTATTATACAGTATCCCAGATGTTCAGCACAGGAATGCATCCTGCAGGGTCACACAGATCTTATTGAACATTAGGTAGAAAGTTTAGACGACTTACTGATGAAGTACATTTTGCTCGTGGCACTTTATCTTTGCATTATGATGATCCCACATTGCTTCCATTTGTATTATAAATGACCTCAGTGTGTTTTTATTACAGTCAAGGATTTTTATCAAGTTCTCAATTTCTGATCACATAACTAAGAAAAATGTACTACTCTATTGTTTACAAAAGGCACAAAAGTACAGTACCCTGTAAAGGTCTTACTACGGTTATTAAAACATGTGCAAACACAGAGACAGTTCTAACAAGCTTAAGTCTTAGATAGTCTTCAGGAATCGTTCTCCAGGCTTCTTGAAGGACATTCAAAGCTCTTCTTTGGATGTTTCTGCTTTTTGCTCTGTTCCCTGTCCAAAGGATCCCACACTGCTTCAATCATGTTGAGATCCGGGCTCTGTGGAGGCTGATCCATTAGTGACAGTGCTCCATGGTCTGTTTCTCTGTCCAGTTATGCTTTTACTGTATTGGCAGTGTTATGGATCACTGTCATGTTGAAAAAATGAAGCTGGTGTCATTGCATGGTGGATCAAAATCTGACAGTATTTTTCTGCATTCATAATTGCATCAGTTTTAAGAAGCTCCTCAACACCACTTACTGAGATACAGCCCGAAAGACAAAGGCAGAGTCTCCACCATGGCTGTAGGCATTCACTGGTGTACATCTTTCCTGATCTCCATACATACTCATAATCATTTTAATCAAAAATTTCCCCATTTGGAGTCATCACTACATTATACCTACTGTCTGATTTTCAGTCCAGTTCTTGTGTAAGTCAGCCTCAGAGTTTCCTCCCTGTTTCCCTTCCTGAAGAAGCGCTCCTTGACAGCCACCCATCCACTGAGGCCATTTCTGATGAAGCTTCAGTGAACAGTAGATGGATCAGCTAAAGGGTCAGATGCATCTCTCAGGTCCTGTGTCAGGTTTTTGCTGGATTTCTTCCTGTTTTTTAAGAACATGACATTCGCATGCTGTCTGTCTGCTGTGGATAGCTTTTCAGACCTGCCACATCTTCTTTTGTCCTCCTCTTGTCCAGTTTCCTCATTTTTTTGACTGCACATCATGTCGAGATGTGCCAGAGCTGAGAGCTCTTTGGGAATCGTGTTGCTTGTGAAAAGATTTTGTTTTATATCTGTTAACTCTCTGGTTTGTCAAACCATCAATATTTTTTATAGATTCAGCTGAACAAAAGTTGGGTTTTTGCAACAGCCTAAAGATACTATTTAAAATTGGTTCTTTTGATAAGTTTTATATTATGTGCAGAAACAACCGACGCTAGTTTATCCCTAGTTTGTCCCTAGTTTGTGTTTGTGTTTAATATCCTGATTACTGTATTAACCCAAACACAAAAAGGTCAGAGAAGAAGACAAAGACGACAACATATTAACTGTTAAATGTTCTGTTTAAATATTCTTGTTGTAGAGTTGTTAAGAATAAAACGTCGAGCATGTGCATCACAGATATGATCACGGGGTCGTGTTGTTCTTCATTTAGCCAATTATATCTGACAGTTTGGAAAAACAGGTAGTGTTGTGTCGCCAGGCAGTGTCTGATATGTTGGCTTAATAGTTATAATGACAGACTAATACTGTATCGTCAAAACCGAGAGCCGCTTACTGAGAGACACCAGAAAATATTAATTAGGGACTTTAGTTTAGTTCAGACAAAACTACGTGTGCTGCAGTTATTATTGGGTGTAATTGTTAATGTACTTTATGTATTGAATTTTAACAATGGACTCACTTACCCTCTACTATAGTGTGTGCTATTCCTCACCATGACTTGATAAATCCATCCAAATAACTGTGTGTGTAGAGTGTGTGTGTGTGTGTGTGTGTGTTTGTGTGTGTGTGTGTGTGTGTGTGTGTGTGTGTGTGTGTGTGTGTGTGTGTGTGTGTGTGTGTGTGTGTGGCGTCAGGTACAGTTATGACTCATATCTTCCCACGGTGTCTTCCAGCCTGTGTTCCATTAATCTTCCATGCACTCAATTGCCTTGATAGTACTACCATCCATTCACACAACACAGTCTCAGCTCACACAGGTGTGTGCCCGACGCGCTGCTGTAATTTCACCTGTTTCTCTTTATCTGAGCGGTGGACTTACTTTGTAGTCTGCAGTTTGGTGAAACACAGCATTACTGCATGTTCAATATGGTGACCCTAAAAAATTAACTAACTGCAACCAGTGAAAACATGCACGCAAACTGTAAAACGTGCACTGATGACTACTTACAACTATCAAACCTGCAAAAGTGTGGCAGTGCGAGTGTTCTCTCGTGTGTACCGAAGGTGGAATTATTGTCTCTCTAGCCTTGTGAGCCTTTACTCTTAAACAAGGGAAAATCTTTATCTGAAATCGTGTTTTTAGTTTGCCGTTCACGAATTCAATATTTTTCCTTCACTGTCAGACTGTCAAATGTGGTTCATGTGTTTGGAAAGCTCGACCTTTTCTTAAACATAACCAAGCAGGTTTAAGTAAGCAAACTGCAAATAAAAGCTAAAAAGGAAAAAGACCTTCTGAAAGAAAGCTTCTCTAGTCGATGCATGTTGTGAAAAAAAAAAACTATTTTAAGCTACAACTACAAAAGCAGCAGCAGTAGTTCCTACTTCTGTGTAAGTTTATACACAGTGGATTGTAGTAGCTAACATCTCCATCACCTGAAAGTAGCCATATTTGAATCACTACATGCTGCACACAGCTTTTATACCATTTCCAAAGAGCAAAATGCTTCACAACTTTTCATCTGTTGCTGGGAACACTGGGTGGATGTAAAGTGGTTACATGATAATTCACTATGAACCTGCCAAAAGTCAAAGACTGAGTGCTTAGAGAATGTGCCACTCAACTGGGGAAGTCATTGTTGTGAAAGTCTTAACTTTGACCCAATGCAAGGACTTCTGCATTAAATAAAACTCAAAGGCTGACGTCTGTCTGCTAACATAAGTGTTAACATCTGCATGTGTGTGCTATGGACAAGTCTCTACCTCGTCCCTACAGCTGCAGGAATGCATTGAATGAGCTACTGAAGTGCTGTAGACGACTCTGTTTTGAGAAATGTAAAGCCAGAGATATCAACAACCTTGCCCTACCTTCAACACCAACCAGTGGCAGCAGATGGCCCCGCCCCTCCCTGTACCTGGTTCTGCTAGAGGTTACTTCCTGTTAAAAGGGAGTTTTTCCTTCCCACTGTGGCCAAGTGCTTGCTCGTGGAGGGGTCATCTGATTGTTGGAGTTTTCTCTCTATTGTAGGGTCTTTGTTAATTTATTAGCTTCTAATTAAATAGACAGCCAGATGATTTTGTGACTCTCATGTTAGCGCATCTGGTCCAGTGTGTTTCTGTGTGCATTTGTCTTTTTCTGGGCTTCATTGGTGTGGTTTTCTGCGCTTTTTTTTTTGCAGGCCGTTAATAACGCCTCTAAATGCAGCTGCGAGTTATCAAAAAACACATTCAAATGAAAAACTGATATCAGCATTCTGTTTGTGTGTTTGTGTATTTTGTGTGAGTGAATGAGTTTCCAGCTTCACTGCCGATTTGGAAAAATGTGCCAATCTGAAGATAATTGAAGTAAGATTGTTGTCAAAGCAGTCAGATGTGAGCAGTTTATTAAAAAAAAGCATTATCTAAATATGTTTTGAAAAGCTCTGAGTTATTGGGGGGGGGGAATTTTGTTCTTACATCAGTTAGTATTCCTCCAAGCAGACTGATCACTGATATAAATTTGTTGCTGTGTATCTCTGGCAGATATGTACCGTCTGGAGTTAGCTGGAGGCCTCGGGGTCATATTGCTGCTGCTGGGAGTCCTAACCGCACTTTATAAATGTTACAACCTGGAGATCATGCTCTGCTACAGGAGACACTTTGGGAGTGATGAAACTGAAGATGGTAAGCTATTTTGAGTGCTCCCTTTTTCTTTAGCACACTGCAGAAGAGGTCAGACAGGTATCAGAGCGCTGAGCGGTATCAGCATTGATAGGAAGATCAGAGAACTACAAACATGGAGCAAAATAAGAGTTAGACTGTTGCTGCGAATGAAACAAAGTAAAGCAAAGGAATTATGCTATTGAAGTAGGATTTTCCTGTAGGGCTTCTACACATAGCATAACACAGACTGCAGGATGAGTCTCACAGTACAACACTGTACAGCACATAAGATGCACAAGCCTGTAGTGAAGTCAAAGAAGGCAATTAATAGAAACAACAGCAGAGTAAATGAAAATGTGTTGATGGAATAAGGAGCTATTTGTGCAGCACTTTTAAAAAGTTACACTGACAAAGCAATGCAAGATCACTCCCCGAACAAAACAGCAAAACCGCCAAAAGGAAAATTATAAAGGTGTAAGTTTGTAGTATTGATTTAAAGTATTGATTTCAAGTTTAGGTCCTAAAGCAGCTGGATTTTCTTAGCTGTGCATTCACGAGTCCAAAACATGAATTACGGTTTTCTCATCAAGTCTACATGTATTGATGATCAGGAGCTGTCTGCTGTCTTTTAGTGCAATAATTACACAGAAACTGCTAACATATATATACTGTATGAAGCACTGTACTCACAGAAAGACGGGGAAGCCTTGTTGATTGATTTGTCAAATCTTCCAAATACTCTTATTTACTGTCCCATGCTCTCTCTGTCTCTCTCCACAGATAATAAGGAGTATGATGCCTATCTGTCCTATACTAAAGTGGACCTCGACTCATTGGGCAGGTCAGGTTTCTTGAATGTTTTTGTGCAGTGCTGTGTAAACAGATTAGGCGCTAAACTTAAAGTGAGGATTGATACAAATGAAACAAATATCATGTTCAGTTCCTTCAAATAGCAGCAAACACAAAATACTTGAAATCAAATCAGCATTGCCCCCTTTGACCTGCAGAAAAGCTCTGATTGTCTCTGATGTAGAGAAAGCGAAGCTGATGCAATAGCGCCTTTGTCCTGCAGGGGGATCTGTGAAAAGACGCATAACAAAGGGATTATGTTCATGGGCTCAGTGCCTTTGTTTAAGTCATATTTAAAACATTACATTCATTTCATAAATTATGTTCTCTTTTGGAGTCAAAGATGATGATGAACTGTTGTCATATACAGTGGGGCAAAAAAGTATTTAGTCAGCCACCGATTGTGCAAGTTCCCCCACCTAAAATGATGACAGAGGTCAGTAATTTGCACCAGAGGTACACTTCAACTGTGAGAGACAGAATGTGAAAAAAAAAATCCATGAATTCACATGGTAGGATTTGTAAAGAATTTATTCGTAAATCAGGGTGGAAAATAAGTATTTGGTCAATAACAAAAATACAACTCAATACTTTGTAACATAACCTTTGTTGGCAATAACAGAGGTCAAACGTTTACTATAGGTCTTTACCAGGTTTGCACACACAGTAGCTGGTATTTTGGCCCATTCCTCCATGCAGATCTTCTCGAGAGCAGTGATGTTTTGGGGCTGTCGCCGAGCAACACGGACTTTCAACTCCCGCCACAGATTTTCTATGGGGTTGAGGTCTGGAGACTGGCTAGGCCACTCCAGGACTTTCAAATGCTTCTTACGGAGCCACTCCTTTGTTGCCCGGGCGGTGTGTTTTGGATCATTGTCATGTTGGAAGACCCAGCCTCGTTTCATCTTCAAAGTTCTCACTGATGGAAGGAGGTTTTGGCTCAAAATCTCACGATACATGGCCCCATTCATTCTGTCCTTAACACGGATCAGTCGTCCTGTCCCCTTGGCAGAAAAACAGCCCCATAGCATGATGTTTCCACCCCCATGCTTCACAGTAGGTATGGTGTTCTTGGGATGCAACTCAGTATTCTTCTTCCTCCAAACACGACGAGTTGAGTTTATACCAAAAAGTTCTACTTTGGTTTCATCTGACCACATGACATTCTCCCAATCCTCTGCTGTATCATCCATGTGCTCTCTGGCAAACTTCAGACGGGCCTGGACATGCACTGGCTTCAGCAGCGGAACACGTCTGGCACTGCGGGATTTGATTCCCTGCCGTTGTAGTGTGTTACTGATGGTGACCTTTGTTACTTTGGTCCCAGCTCTCTGCAGGTCATTCACCAGGTCCCCCCGTGTGGTTCTGGGATCTTTGCTCACCGTTCTCATGATCATTTTGACCCCACGGGATGAGATCTTGCGTGGAGCCCCAGATCGAGGGAGATTATCAGTGGTCTTGTATGTCTTCCATTTTCTGATGATTGCTCCCACAGTTGATTTTTTCACACCAAGCTGCTTGCCTATTGTAGATTCACTCTTCCCAGTCTGGTGCAGGTCTACAATACTTTTCCTGGTGTCCTTCGAAAGCTCTTTGGTCTTGGCCATGGCGGAGTTTGGAGTCTGACTGTTTGAGGCTGTGGACAGGTGTCTTTTATACAGATGATGAGTTCAAACAGGTGCCATTCATACAGGTAACGAGTGGGGGACAGAAAAGCTTCTTACAGAAGACGTTACAGGTCTGTGAGAGCCAGAGATTTTCCTTGTTTGAGGTGACCAAATACTTATTTTCCACCCTAATTTACGAATAAATTCTTTACAAATCCTACCATGTGGATTCATGGATTTTTTTTCACATTCTGTCTCTCACAGTTGAAGTGTACCTCTGGTGCAAATTACTGACCTCTGTCATCATTTTAAGTGGGGGAACTTGCACAATCGGTGGCTGACTAAATACTTTTTTGCCCCACTGTACGTAGTTTCAGTTGAATCGTCAGGGCACCTGACGAAGAAACCTAAAAAGCGACGGTCTAGGCTCAGCTCCCTGGCGCCTATGGTGGCTCAAAACTAGCTTTCATATATATATATGTATATATATATATATAATATATATATATATATATATATAATTATATAATATATAATATAATATATATATATATATATATATATACACTTCCTGTGAGCATAGTGTCTTTGCTTCTGTGGTTAAAACGGTTTAGACAAACCTCCCTTTTATATTGAAGCGTGGCAGCCACATGAAAAGGACTTGCTAGCCAAAATTCTGTCTGGGCTACAGACATGTTTATTAAAATACTACTTGTTGTATTGTTAGCAGTAAGCCTGGTCATGTTAAAAATCAAAAAATGAATAAATAAATTCATAAAATGTGCAGATGTTTGATATTGACCAAATTAAATGCAAAAAACTAAACCTGACAGCCCTACAGTGAGGGGATCGAGAGGCTCCGTTACTTTGAGGAAAGCATTCTGTTGGCATAGCTTCAGTTTACTTGTCACCTCAGAAGGAAGGCTCACCGTGAATCAATACAAATTTGCTCAAAGCGTTCACCTTTACACTCTGATTAAACATCTCTGTCCTGATGGAAGTGGCTCCTTCCTGGATGACAATGCAGTGATCTGCATGCTGAGATGAAAATGATGTAATCACGTGCTACAGTCTTTGTACTCACAAGATCAGCTACGAAGATGCAACACGTGCTCGTCTGCACATCAAATGAGGGAATATCTTCTGGAATGTAGTGCTCCATCTCTCCTGTGGAGTTTAACAGAGCAGGGCAGCCCACATCTTTACGATGGGTTCCCCTCTAATTTTCCACCTGTGTGCAGGCGTTTGTAGTTAAGTGCATTCGCTGATTGATTTGTCTGTTATCTGATTTTGAATTTGGAGCCATGTTTGTTATTCCCTCTCCCAGCAGGACGAGCAGCGACGAGGAAACATTTGCTTTGGAGATCTTGCCGGATGTTTTGGAGAAACATTATGGATACAAGCTGTTTATACCAGACAGAGATTTAATACCCAGCAGTAGTAAGTATAAATCTGTGTATCTACCTACACACATGCACACACACACTCTCTCTCTGCGTAACTCCAATCCCCGCTACCCAGAATTCATCTCTCTGTCAGAATAAATAAGAACATATGTGGATCTTCATCATAACACACTTACAGCCACACACATATCTATGTCAGCTCTCAGATGTACGCCACATGTACCACATGCCTTACCACAATTTCATTTATTTGTTCACAAACACACACGTACGCACACACGTGCATGCATGCTTGTACCCTCTCACAATTTGTCATCATTTCTTGGCTCCTGTGTCACTCTGTCCAACTG